ACCGCACAGCTACGGCACAAAAACAAGCTCTAGTTGAAACGTGTGGTCGCAGCTGAAACTCATCCTTATTGTTTGTTTTTACCTCCAGACGGTAGTCCAGACGGAAGCTCTTACGAGAGGAGCGGGTGGAGCTAGTCTTCCTCCGGATTTGAGGATCCACCTGTCCACCTTCATCACCTTGAGGCAATCCATCATCCTTAATGCAAGCAGTGATTCACAGTTAGGAAAAAAAAAAAACAATAAAAGATGGTAATGGGATTTTTATCTTTCACATATTTTACTTTGAGTCAATCATTATAGTTAAAGCTCGAGACTCACGTCAGCAGCTGAAAAGTGATTTGTAAACAAGCTGTGACATGATTTACTCCCAAACCTAAAGCTTTACCTCCACTAGACGTGTTCTCTCCTCAAGTGCAGCTCCGTCTGAAGACGATGGCTTCTCCATGTGTTCGCCACCTGCACACCTAACACACAGATCACTTTTAACGCTTCTTCACAATCAGCCGAGATCATCCTACAAGTTCCTGCACCTCACAGCATTTACKCTAACAGGTCGTTTGCCTCCACTGTAAATGATGACAGCTGACAGTTTAAGCATCATGCAAAAACGGTTCAACTAACAGATCAAAACACAACGTCTTCGGCCGTGACATTTCATGCTTCTCCATTCAGCAGGAAACTCTTTGTCCACAGCCGGGAGAGATGAGCCAGACTCAATTTGAGCACCAGTTTATCTCTTTAAAAAAATCAAGGACATGAGTTGACTAACAGCTCCGATGGTTGATAATCTTGTGTAATGCTGATTGGGAAGTAACTTATGTGCACATGCAGAAATGACACAAAGACATAGTAGTTACTCCACCCATAAGAGGAAGTGATGCAAACAAGACTGCATTTTGGTTTAATAATTTATAAACACAGACTAGATCGAAATTATACTTTCAGGAGGAGCCAAATGATTAAATGGTAGAGTTTAAAGATGAAGAGCCAACGCCTACATTAAGTGCACACTTCTGCAAGCCTAATCAGTCCTTCCTTATCCTGTTTTTGTGTGCCCTAGATGTTCCCTACACACCCTTATAGCCTATTATAAACACCCAGATGATTACTGCTTTCAAGTTCCTTCATGTCCAGATAAAACCTCAGTGCAGGAGATGGATCTTCTTCTGTGCTGAAGCGCTTTCTCTCTCTCTCTCCATACATAAAGCTGCTGCTGATGCACTCAGCCTCATGAATAGACTTTAACACACACAGAAAACAATAGAGCTCTGTGGAGGACTCAGTCAGATGTGGTCATATACCATACCATACCATACCAACTTTATTTATAAAGCACTTTAAAACAACCACWGCTGATACAAAGTGCTGTACATTAAAACAACAACATAATAAAAAGTGATTAAAAATGGTTT